AGGACGTCCTTCTTCACCCAAAGAGTGATTAACACTTGGAATTCACTGCCACAGGAAGTGGTGGGTGCTACAAGCATGGATGGCTTCAAAAGGGAATTAGATAAGCATATGGAGCAGAGGTCCATCAGTGGCTATTAGCCACAAGGTATAGCTAGGGGCTCTGGGGCAAGTGATGCTCTGTCTTCTTGGTGCTTGGGGGGGGTCAACAGTGGGAGGGCTTCTAATGTCCTGGCCCCACTGCTGGACCTCCTGATGGCACTGGTATTTCTGGCCACTGTGTGACACAGTGTTGGACTGGATGGGCCTTTGGCCTGATCCAACATTGGCATCTCTTATGTTCTTATATGTTCTTATGAACTTAAAACGAACTATACAGGGGGGCGGGGGAGAGGGGAAGGGTGCCAGCCATTGCAACCAACCGTTGCTGCTCTCAGCCAAAAGCCTGGCGGAACATCTCTGCCTTACAGGCCTTGTGGAATCGCACTGGGTCCTGCTGGGCCCTGATTTCGGCAGAGAGTTCCACTGGGTCAGGGCCAGAGATCACCAGCAAGTTGTTATTAGCGGAGCATAAGGATCTCCGAGGGATATAGCGGAGGAGGCAGTTACGAAGAAGTGAAGAAAAAATGGAAGCGTCTGTTTTCAGGGTCAGGTCTCTGTTCCCAAGATATGGGAAGGGCAAGAGCTGCCATTAGGCAAGGCTGGCCCATGACCCATTTGCAGAGGCTTCGTGACCCACTTTTGGGTCCCGACCCACAGGCTGAGAAACCCTGGCCTACGGCACTGGCCAGGGGCATGGCCCATTTTGCCACGCATCCAAGCGTAATGCCACTCATTTATCGCCTTTCCATCTGAATGTTGGGAGCTGCGGTGGCTCGGAGGCTAAGACGCTAAGCTGCAGACCGGAAGGTCTGTAGTTTGGCAGTTCGAGACCCGAGTGCCACGTGGCGGAGTGAGCTCCCGTCTCTGGACCCAGCTCCTGCCAACCGAGCAGTTTGAAAGCAAGAAATTGCAAGTAGATAAATACGTACCACTTTGGTGGGAAGGTAGCAGCGTTCCGTGCGTTTAGTCATGCCGGCCACGTGACCACCGAGAAGTCTTCGGACAGCGCTGGCTCTTCGGCTTGGAAATGGAGATGAGCACTGCCCCCTAGAGTCAGATTCGACTTGCTTTCGAGCAAGGGAGAACTTTACCTTTTTATCTGAATGTTAATCTCAAGGCAGGGCTTTGCGGGGCTTTCCAGGTGGGCATTCCCATAGGTCTGAATTAGTCACGTGCTCCATGCTGATTCTGGGTTGTAAAGCTTCAAGGGAGAGGGAAAGAAGTTTTTTTCTTTGTCCTTTAGAATGTAGTCCTTTCCGGAGGATCCACAATGTTCAGGGATTTTGGACGCCGGCTGCAGAGAGACTTGAAAAGAGTGGTGGACGCGCGACTGAAGGCCAGCGAGGAGCTCAGTGGCAGTCGGATAAAGGTAAACAGGAGTTTTACTGCCCATTAAGAAACTGCCAATGAGCCAGGGGAGCCCACCTGTCACTGTTAATGAGGCATAGACCAAGAGACACTTTTACCGGAGGGGTGAGGGCCCTGGCTCAAGCCACTGTCTGGTGCTGTGCTGCTGCGGCCGAGGCAAGATAGTTTCTGTGGCTTCCACAAGTGCCCAAAGGAGCCAGGAGATGAGCTTTGCATCCTGCTGTCTGATTGGAGAGGATTTCAGCTTTCAGGGCATCTGTGGAGCAGACTTTGAGGTGTTTGCCATAGCGGCACCCTCGGCCAGAGAGAGGGAGAGAGAGAGAGAGAGAGAGAGAATGCAACGTGGCTTGCTTCTTGAGCAACTTGCATCATTGCAGTTAAAAATACCAGGCAAGCAAGGTGGAAAACCCAAGTGGGGTGGAGAGCAGAGACCTCTCTTCCTCCCCCCCGGTAGATTCCTCTGGAGTCCTGGGTGGAGATGCTCCACGAAGGGCCACTGGAAGCAGATTCTAGCAGCAGGAAAGGGGTCATTGCGGGGAGGGGGAGGGCTCCTTCCCCCGGAGATGACGCAGAAGCAGCTTGAAGCTCTGGGGCCTTGCGGCAGAGTATGGGGCTCGGAGCGAGAGGGCACTGTAACTGGGCACTGGGACACAGCCATCTATGCTGGGCAGGCGAGGCGTTGACTAGCAGAAACGCTGGCACCTTTGCACGGCTGGATGGTGAGTCTTCCTCCCCCCCATCCCCCCCGCAGCCTCTTGAGATGTGGGGTTGAGCCTGTAAACCTTTTCTGGACCAGAGAAGCTGCGCTTGAGATGGCTCGTTGGTCTGCTGGTCTCTTGTGCTGTGCTTGACGATGTACTGACCCAGCAGTTGTGTTTGCTTTGCAGCCCAAGCCTGTGGAAGTGCAAGTGATCAGTCACCACATGCAGCGCTATGCGGTCTGGTTCGGAGGATCCATGCTCGCCTCGACAGTACGTGTCCCGTGATGTCTCTCCGTTGTAGAACAGGGGTACCGGAAGAGATCCAGAGAGCCTCCTGCTCCAGTCTCTTGGGCACAGTAAAGATGATCCTTTTTCCCCCTCAGACTTTCTTAGCAGATCGGCTACGGCCCTGCGTTCTTTCCCTTGCTGGGCATCCTCTGATCTTACATTAATAGTCAGACTCCGTGCTGCCTTTAATTTGTCCTCTGAAGCAATGCATGCATATTTCCCCCCTCGTCCTAGCAAAACTTGAATTAAGATCTGGAGAGACATGATTTGATCTGCTTTGAACTAGAGCAGGGGCGTACCACCCCTGGCACCCGTGCCAAACAACGGCATGCTGGATGCGTCTCGCTTGGCATGCAAGGCCAGCTCTCCCTCTGAGGGAGGGGCCAAGCCCTTGAGGTGGCAGTAGTGCCACTGGGGCTGAGCTAGCTTCCGTGTGTCTGGCCAGGGACACCTTTTCCGTCCCCACCCCACCCTTCTTTTTTGGGGGGCCACCGTACCAGAGCTGCGGTGGCTCAAATGGTTAAGACGCTGAACTGCAGGCTGTGGAAGGTCGGTAGTTAAGCAGTTCGAGACCCGGGTGCAGCATGACGGAGTGAGTTCCCGTCTCTGGTCCCAGCTCCTGCCAACCTAGCAGTTCGAAAGCAAGAAGAAATTGCAAGTAGATAAATAGGTACCACTTCGGTGGGAAGGTAACAGTGTTCCGTGTGCCTTGGTGTTTAGTCACGCCGTCCACATGACCTCGGAAACGTCTTCGGACAGCGCTGGCTCTTCGGCTTGGAAACGGAGATGAGCACTGCAACCCTAGAGTCAGATTCGACTGGCTTTCGAGCAAGGGAACCTTTACCTTTACCAGCATCCTTACAGGCAGGTGTTTTGTTTTTTCGGCACTTGAACCAAGAAGGTTGCCTGTACCTGAGCTAGAATGTAGGGGAGGGGTCGTGGCTCCGTGGGTGAGCATCTGCTTGGCATGCAGAAGGTCCCCAGCTCAAGCCCCGGCATCTTCATGCAAAAAGGATCAGGTTGTCAGTGATATGAAAGGACTCAGCCTGAGACCCTGGAAGCTGCGCTCAGTTTGACCATACAGACCCGGATGGACCAAGTGTCTGATTCAGGATAAGGCAGCGTCGTCATGTGCCCATGTTTGGAAATCAGTACCATTTATACATTTTAAAACCAATTAAAACTCATATGTACAATTCTAGAAGGACCTTTGGCGCAGCTTTAAAGCCAAGCAGAGAAACGTAGCCACCTTCTCTGTGATGTCCGGACTGAGATCTCTTAAAAGTCCATTCACCTTAAGTGCATCAGAGCAAGCACCCATGCTGGTTAAAAGAGAGTGTAAGTAAGTGGATCCTTAGGTCCATATACAAATTGCAGTGCAGGAGAACATGAGTGACCGATTCCACACATTTCGATCTGCAAGGGCAGTATCTGGCCAGATGAGAAACCTTGTTAAATCTGCCAAATAAAATGGCGGGCGGCGTAGCATTACACCTGGCCAGGGTGAACGCTCTACGTTCTTCAGGGACCTGCGGAGAGGATAGAGACGAGGCCATCAGCCCTGTTGTAAGGGGAATCTCAAAATTCAAGGGGGAGCAGGTTTCATTGCCTAAACTATATAAAGTTTGGCGCTCCGAGTCTAACAACCTGTTTTTAATCTGTCGGAATGCAACGGCAAAAGGCAACATGGACAGGGATTCCAAAGAGAGACCCAATACTTTGATTTTCCCTTTGATATATGCTGGCCAGTTTGAGAGTTTGAGCTCGGGGAGCATGTGATGTATAGGGCTCCCGTGTTCAAATGTTTGGAAATCACTGATGGCCTGAGCCCTGAAGTCCTCAAGAACCCAATTTTGCCCTGACCTGGGTAGCCCAAGGCAAACCCAGTCTCAGAAGCTCAGCAGGGTCGTCTCTGGCAAGTACTTGGATGGGAGACCGCCAAGGAATTCCAGAGCTGGGATACAGAGGCAGGTTATCAAGCAAACCTCTCTGAATATCCTCCATGCCCCCAGTAGGGGTCAGTCACCAAAGGGCACCATGACTTCTAGATGCACACCAGTGCTCCCTCTAAGCTGTGGAGTCCAGTGAGCAAAAATTCTACTTTGTGAGCTACTGGCCTTAAAGTGGTGAGCGAGCGATTGGGCTGCTGCATAAATTAGGTTGCTCTGGAGCCATCCTGCCTGAGCGCAGACAAACAATGTGTGAGCTAGCTCACTGTGAGCTAGCTCACACTAACTCAGCTCAGAGGGAACACTGGTGCACACACACATGCTCACATGCGCATGCGCACACCCACAAATACAAAAAAAGAGCCACTTCTCTGGAGTGGTGGCTTAAGGTTGCCTTCAGATGTTACAAAGAGGAAGAGAAGAAAAAGAGATTGGATTTATACTTCACTCAGAGTGGCTTACAATCTCCTTCCCTTCCTCTCCCCAAAACAGACCCCCTCTGAGGTAGATGAGGCTGAGAGAGCTCTGAGAGAACTGCTTTTGAGAGAACAGCTTTGAGAGAGCTTGTGACTGGCCCAAGGTCACCCAGCTGGCTGCATGTGGAGGAGTAGGGAATCAAACCCAGTTCTCCCAGATTAGCGTCCACTGCTCTTAACGACTACACCAGACTGGCTGTCCAGTTGAATAAACAGATGCTTAGTCCCCAACAAGGACAACAAAGACAAACCCAGCTTGTGTTGCTGTCCTTGTGGAATCCCTTCACCCCTAATTAATTAATTATCATATGGCAGTGCGTGTGGCACAGCCAGGAGATCCGAAGATTGTCTGGCAGCTTGAAACTCTAGCTCTTTTTGTGACAAGCTAGATTTATTTTTTGAGAGAACTGTGACTCACCCAGATGGCTTCAAGCGGAGGAGTGGGGAGTCGAACCTGGTTCTCCGTATTAGAGTCCACCACTCTTAACCACTACACCAAACTGGCTCCCTTCACGCCTAATGCAAGGAGTGTGATTGAAAAAAAAGAGTTAAGAGTAACAGACTCTGGGTTTGATTCCTCACACCCTCCACATGAAGCCAGCTGGGTGGCCTTGGGTCAGTCACGGTTCTCTCTCAGAGCTCTTTCAGCCCCACCTGCCTCACGAGGTTCCTGTTATGGGGAGAGGAAGGGAAGGAGATTGTAAGCTAGTCTGAGACTCCTTAGGATAGAGAAAAGCAGAGTATAAAGCCTGCTTCTTCTACCTCTTTCCTTGTAGTATCTGTGATGTGGGTCGTTTCGGAGAGTAGCTGTGTTGGTCTGCAGTAAAAGAGCTAGACTGAAGTAAAGTAGCACCTTAGAGACCACAAGATTTTCAGAGTATGAGCTTTTGGGAGTCAAAGCTTTCTCTGCTATCTGACGAAGAGAGTGTTGACTCTTGAAAGCTCCTACCCCCCAAAGGTTTTTTGGTCTCCAAAGTGGCACTGTACTGTGATGTTGACGTTGCCCCTTGCCGGCTCCAGCCGCAGATGGTGTTTGCCTTGGTTTTGTAAAAGGTTTTCATCCGAGCTTCTTTGTCTTTATGTTCCCCCCCCCCTTTACCCTCCTCAGCCAGAGTTCTTCCAAGTATGTCACACCAAGAAAGATTACGAAGAATATGGCCCTAGCATTTGCCGTCATAATCCTGTCTTTGGAATCATGTCCTAGCACCCGTTTGGCGCGGAAGCGTCTGCTCTGGTGTCTCTTGCGTCTGACGGAGCTCCTATGACTGTGGGAGAAGAGGAAAGCGCCGGGTTTGAAATGCCGGGCCGTCGTGTGTATGTCCACTTGCCTCGGCGGGGAGAACTTCAGTCCCAGGGTGCGCGCATCGGAATCACGCCTTGCAATGCAGCCGATAACCCAGAACCACTCTGGCGAAAAGCCGCCTACGTGCCAACTCTGTGACCCTCTCCTTTCCTCAGTGGTAGCTTCTAGCCAACGGGCAGCCCTTCCGTCTTGGGAGACTGTAGAAACACAGGAGTTGCGGGGAGAAACTGAGGCCAGGAATACAAGCCGAACCTGAGCTCGCTGTCATGTTGTTTCTGGAACCGGGAAGGGATACGTGGTAATTTTTCTCCTCGGGTTTCAGCCCTGCAGCCGGATCAGCAAGGGTGAAACCCTGGGCTAGTAAATGGTCACCTTTGGCTTCGTGGAGCCTCCTGGTCTTTCCGGGACATATTAGATTGTAAACTTGTGGGGGCCTTAGTGAGTAGGAAAATATAACGCTCTAACCATGCAATACAAATGTTTTATTTTAGAGAGTTTTGTATTTTCTGAATTATTATTGTAGTGTGTGTTCTGGGCTGAATGCAAACAGCAAGCGATGTTGCTGGAGTTGATGGTGGTGATGCTGTTTTCCAGTTAGTTTGAAGTGTACCAGTTTTTCCTCCTTTGGGGGGGATGTATGTATGCTTTCTTTCTTTTTTTCACGGTACATCCTGATTTGAGTGAAATGTCTTCTTCTTTTTTTTTTTTAAAGCCCCTGAAAATATGTGTGAGATTTATTGCTGCTATTTATTTAATATTTGTGTGTATTTTTTAAAAAAACCACAGGCAGGCTGAGTGGCGGACGCAAAAGCTGCTGGCGAAATAAAAGCTGTTAACATGTTTACATGTATCGCTATCCTGGTGGTGAATTGCTTTAAAAAACAACACCCCCGAACCCGTAACACTTAGAAAATTCCACACTTGCTTAGGAATGGGCAGGGCTATTTTTGGGCAGGAACGCAGAGGAACGGAGTTCCGGCTGGCTCCCAAGTTGACCACGCCCTGCAGGAACTCATTAGCATAATAGGCCACACCCAACAGCAGAAACTCATCAGGATTGGCTACATTAGGGGTGTGTGGCCTAACATGCAAAGGAGTTCCTGCTACAAAAAAGCCCTGGATTTTGACAACAAACAAGGTAAACAGAATAAGAAGCAAAAGGTGGGTGTGGCTGGATGAGCACACTTCTGGTAACATGGGGGTGTGGCCTAATATGCTAATGAGCTGTGTTGTCAGGGGTGTGGCCCAATATGCTAATGCGTTTCTGCTGTTGGGTGTGGCCTATTATGCTAATGAGTTCCCGCTGGGCTTTTTCTACAAAAAGAGCCCTGGAATGGGGATAGGTGTTTTGGTGTGTTTGGGAGGGGGGTGTCAGATAGTGAAATGGTCTCCTGAGATGGCCAGCTGCAAAGTAAGAAGGAAGCCTGAGGGGATGAGGACACCTGGGCCAGCCACACCTGGGACAAGGAAGATATAGTGGAATTAGTCCCGGATGGGTAGCCGTGTTGGTGTGCGGTGCATAAGAACATAAGCGGAGCCCTGCTGGATCAGACCAGTGGTTCATCTAATTCAGCATTCTGTCTGTCACAGTGGCCAACCAGTTCCTCTGGGGGGAGATCCAACAGCAAGGCATAGAAGCCAAGGCATTCCCCTGATGTTGCCTCCTGGCTCTGGGATTCAGAGGATTGGCGTCTCTGAATATGGAGGTTCCCCTCAGGCACCATGGCTAGCAATGTTCCCTCTAAGATGTAGAGTCTTGTGAGCAGAAATTCTACTTTGTGAGCCACTGGCATTAAAGTTGTGAGCGAGCAATTTGGCTACTGCATAAATTAGTTTGCTCTGGAGCCCTCCTTCCTGAGCTAAGACAAAAAGGTGTGAGCCGGAGGCTAAAAAACTGTGAGCTAGCTCACACTACCTCAGCTTAGAGGGGACACTGATGGCTAGTAGCCATTGATAGACTTATCCTCTGTGAATCTATCTAATCCCCTTTGAAAGCTGTTTATTCCTGTGGCCATCACGACATCATCTGGCAGTGAATTCCACCTTTTAATCACTCTCTGTGTTAAGTAGTATTTCCTTTTGTCCGTCCTGAACCTCCTGCCCATCGGCTTCCTTGGATGCCCTTGAGTTCTAGTTCTGCCGGAGTTCTACCTTCCCCCAAGGAACTCAGAGTGGTGTACCTGTGTACCCCTTCCCCACTTCATCCTTACGATCACCCTATGAGGTAGATTAGGCTGAAAGAACGTGACGAGCCTACTGAATGTCATCCAGCAATCTTCAGGGTACTGTGGGGATCTGAACGGGGGCCTCTTGGGTGTCCCACTCCCAACACTCCATCCATTGCATCTCACAAACTGTTGCATAAAGTCAAACCCTAGTAAATGAATTCAAATCTTTTGTTACCATGCGGCAAAGGGTTTATAAAGAGCACAATCCATATAAAGCTGCAATCCCTTTTAGACCTCAAGTTTGGTGTAGTGGTTAGGAGCGTGGAGTCTAATCTGGGGGGATCGGGTTTGATTCCCCAACCCTCCACATGCAGCTGCTGGTGGGACCTTGGGTCAGTTACAAGTTCTCTCAGAGCTGTTCTCTCATGAGCAGTTTCTGTCAAGAGCTCTCTCAGCCCCACCTACCTTACAGGGTGTCTGTTGTGGAGAGGGGAAGGGAAAGGCGATTGTAAACTGCTCTGAGACTCCTTCGGGTAGTGAAGGGCGGGGTATAAATCCAATCTCCTCCTCTTCTTCAAAGGGAAGGAATTAAACAGGTTGGATCTTCCTCTCCCTTTTTATCTGGCCTCATTCTGAAAACTTGCGTGAAAACTGGAAGAGGGGAGAGCAAGTCAGCTGAGAGTGATTGTCTAATGACCTTTGTTAACTGTCTTGCCAACTAGAGGTGGCTGGCTTTCCATCCCATTACCCTATCAGTCGAGCTGTCTTGCCAGTAAATGCTTAATAGCGCTTGGGTTTCTTTGTTACAAATCTGAAGACCGCCGTGCGTATGTCTCTCGCCGTGGAACTTTCAATTAAATACAATTAGCAAGCCCTTGACGTGACTCGGAGAGCTGATCTTTCCTGTAAATAATTCATTCTTTATGATCATGCTGTTCTCTCTCATCTGGATTTTTTTTTTTCTCCTAGTTGTGCCAAACGAGCGTCTAAAGACACCGGAGTGAAAAGCTTACTCAAAACCACCAGAGAGGTAGATGGAAGTGGGAATATGTGATCTCTTGGTTAATTGAAAAGCATTATGTAATGTCAGCGCTGCTGTGAAATGAAACGATGCAAATACCCATTGCGCGGCAGGGCAGTGTGCAGTTATTTCCTTTTTTTTTTTTTTGAGCAGTGTAGAATGGGTTGGACAAAATGCCATGGTTGCTCTGTTTTACTTCAGCGAGTATGCGTTTTTTAATCTGTCCAGTTCCTGCAATCAAACTGATGGTTCTCTTAAATCAGGGGTGTCGAACTCATTTGTTATGAGGGCCGGATCTGACATAAATGAGACCTTGTTGGGCTGGGCCATGTGTGTCATAAAATGGAATGCCAGGCAGCGGAGATATAAACTTTATAAAGGACACAAACACAAAGGTTTGTTTGTTTTTTACTTAAAATAAAAACATGCTTCAAACATTAGCACTCCTGCAATATTTTGCTTATTTAACCGTGTCTGATAACTGACACCTCTTGCTCTGAATTATTGCATCAAAATGTCTGTGCTGTTGCAGTCTTCAGTATGCTGTTCAGGTGTGTATCTGTCAGCTGCAAACCTACGATGATGCAGCAGCAGCAGAACTGGAAGAAGAAGAAGCAGAAGGCAGCCAGTTCCACTGCGGGCCTGATAGAAGCCCTCTGGGGGCCTGATTCGGCCGCATGCTTGACACCCTTTCTTAAATCATACTTTGGCATTTAGTAAACATTTGACCAGCGCTTGATTAAACATGAGAATATCTACCGTACAAAGAAGTTATCTCTAGGGTTGCTACCTCCATGTGCAGAGATGTTCCCCCGGAGGAAATTGCGGCTTCGAAGGGTAGGCTCTATGGCAGAGGTGTCAAACTCATTCGTTATGAGGGCCGGATTTGACATAAATGTCACTTTGTTGGGCTGGGCTTTTTGTGCCATAAAATGTAATGCCAGGTACCTGAGATATAAACTGTATAAATGACGGCAGCTCATTTGTGTCCTCACTGCAAAGCCCCATGGGCTGGGAGGGGGTGCAGAGGAAAACCCACATGGGCGGACTGGAGGGCCAGTGGTGCCGCACTGGGCAGGTGCTCCCACATTGCTTGACTGTTGCAGACGAGATTGTTCCGCCATGTTGAAGCCACAACTGGAGTGGCTCCGCCCACTCCTCGAGCACTCTTATGTTCCCACCCTTGTACCAGTTGCTTGTGGGGCACGTTAGAGCCCTGGATGGGCCGGTTCTGGCCCCTGGGCCTATACCCTGCTCTATGGTGTCCCATGCCCACTGAGTTCCCTTTGCTCCCCAGACTCCGCCATCCTTTGACGCGGCCCCGAACATCTCCAGGAATTTCCTGACTTGGAGTTGGGAACCCTTGTTATATCCCTTTTTAGTGTTATGGCTTCCTCCAAAGATGGGTGAAGGTGCCCTGTGGGAGACCATTTTTCTCTTCAGATTTGAGGCAAACGAATAGCTGCTACATCAATTTGGCCATAGCGCAGATATCCTCTGAACTGGTGGTTGTTCACCTTCAGGCGTGCTGCTGAGATTCATAAAATATCTCGTAGAAATGATGCCTCAGAGCAGACAAATACGCATACTCTTGGTGCGAACTGACATGCATATTCGCTCTCTGTTGTCCGGCTCTGTTCTCTGTCACGGTTCCTCTCACAGGTTTTTCCACATTTAGTCACACATATTATTGAAGAGGCAACTCCTGTTCCTTTGCTTCCTGTTCGGCTTGTCGCCTCGGAGCAGGCTGCCCCCCCCATTTATCTGATGGTATAGCCCACAATACATCAAGTGCCAGTGGCAATTAAAAGATTAGGGACAGGTTGTAATTACAGCCCCGTTGAATAAAGTTTTTAAATGAGTCTGTGGCTGCCTATACTGTAATTATTCTGTCTGTGCCCTGATGAGCTGGGAGTAATCGTGTGGGGGTGGGGGATTATGAACTATTTCCTCAGAACACGCGGTTCATGGTTTTGCCATTTGTAGTTCAATTGCTCTGAGGCGCCATCCCCGTATTGGAGAAAACCATCTTTGAATAAAGCCAGGGTTCTCTGCGGTGCTGATATGGGCAAGTCCGTAAATCCAGGTCAACATAGCCAAACATGTTTAACAAATACTACATGTTTAAAAAATTACTGTTTTGTACATTTTAAATGTTTTCTGTTGTTGTTGAATACCATTGGTCCATCAAAGTCAGGATTGTCTGCTCAGACGGGCAGTGGCTCTCCAGGATCTCAGGCTGCCCGGTCCCTTTAACTGGAGATGCCGGGGATTGAACCTGGGACCTTCTGCCTGCCAAGCAGATGCTCTGCCACCAAGCTGCAGCTCCTCCACGAGGTCCGTTATGTGCCTTGGGTCCCATTTATTTAGGAGAAAGGCAGTCTTATAAATTTCTTAAATAAGGCCAACTTCTAAAGAACCAGAGGTCATTTCGGGGGGATCGCGGGGGATCGCAGTTCCCCCG